AACTATAAACATCACTCTGTGTGCAACTGGGAAACAATTTTTCAGTTGGTATCAAAGTTACTTAAAAGGACTTAGCTCATCACTAAAATAAATCAGATGCGTGTTGATTTTATCTTTGCCATACTAGAGCTAGAATATGAATTACAAAAAGGAACAAAAAAATTGTTTTGACAAGTAAATGAATATTGGAACAGAAAAATTATATTGGAAGTACATTTATATGATGCCATGGTATCACTTTTACAAAGTGACTTCTGCTGGAGGGGCATTTTCAGATAAAGCATATAAATTAGGATGCCCCCAAGGCATAGTTTTTCATTCTATGTGAAACCAAGAAAGCATTATATGTCTAAAAGGAGTCTGTAGGGACAAACAGGCTCATGCTTAGTTAAGGGGAAAACTGCCATAGGGAGGGAAGTTAGATACATGATGCTGATACCCAGCAGGGAAGCTGGACTGATATCACTAGTAATAAAAACCCATCAAACTCAGCATGTAGTTCAGCCCTTGGTTGGAAATGCTAAGTGACACTGACAAGAAATATTCCAAGTGTCATTTGTAGAATTGTTCAAAGTCAGATATGACATTTTTTAACTTGCTTTATCAAAGTCAAATGAAGTGATGTAAAGAACAGTAATCATTTAACACACAAAGAAAGAGAATGTAAGAAGAAAAGATGCTGGAAATTTATCTATATATGAGACGATTAGCGTGTTCTCAGTTATAGTTAACTGACTAAAGGTAACCCAGCCAGAAAGCAGACTCTGACCTCTACACCCACACCCCCTAGCTGTGTGTCCCCCCCTCCTTGTGTTCCTCTGCTTCTGCTTTTCCTGGTAGTAACTTCCTTGTCTGGGGCTTGTTTGCCTGCGCTGCTCTGTCATCCAGCAATACAGGACTCCACCACCTGCTCAGTGTTTGTCCTCGTCCTCACAGGGTCCCTCTGGACTGACCCCAGCTCTGTCCCCCAGCTGTCCTGCTGCCTGTCACCCACAGCAGATGTTTGCTCAGGCTTTTAGGGAAATAAGACCCAGGGAGAGGAACTTGCAGTTTAGGATTATGGGTCAGTGGAGGCAAGGCAGATGACTGCCATTTGCATTTGGGCCTCCCACCATGACACTGTGTTTCAAAGCTGGCAGATCTTGCAGCAGCATTAAGCTGCATTGCTGTTGGTCCAGCGGGAATGACCACCTCCCACAGTGGGCAAAGCGGTGGGCAGGAGCAGGCTCCAAGGAGCCCAGGGTTTTAAACAGCTGAGAAGCTCTTCAAAGTACTGAGGTGTCTTTTCTTTCCTGTAGATTGTCGCCAGTATACGAACAGGAGCTGTGAGGAGTGTCTGAAAAACGTCACTGTAAGTAGCAGCAGTAAAACTCCCAACCTCCCACGATGCTCGAAAATGTAGTGTGGGCTTTGCAGGGCTGTTACAGAGCAGTTCTACTCCTAGGAGAGGGGCTGCTCCCCTGCCCTTGTCCTGAGCATGCTGTCAGTGCCACCCACCCATGATGGTGAGAGGGAAAACACCCCTTGGTACTCTGGGAGGAGGCTGCTAGAAACTTCTTGGGTTTTGTTATATGCTTTTTGAGTTGAGTACTGGAATTACTGATGTCCTCACGGATGGGAAACACTGTTGGGGATGCACATGGTGAAGGAGCTGAGTGGGCTGGACTGGCTGGTCAAGCTGCCCCCCCATCAGTCTGGATGCCGCGGCACTGGTTGGACAGGGGGATGTGTACCTATGTCCTACTAACTTTCGCTGCCTTATCTCTGGTATCAGCAAATTTGAACTTGAGTCAGATCTTGCAGCAGACTTAGCCAGAACCAGTTTGACCAAACCCAACTGAATGCTGGGGTTGGAGGCACCAGGAAGGAGGGTGCAAAACTGGTGCAGGTAGCTAGTGGGGGCACACACAAGCCTCTCCTGCTCATCAGCTGTGTTGAGTGGCTGTCTCAAAGGCTTTCTTGTTCCAAAAATGCTGCATGGAATAAACACAAAGGGTTTGGTGATTACTACTATCATGCAAGCAAGGAGAAGGGTTCTCAGCACCTTTACTTGCTCTAGAGTATTTCTAGAGCTCTACATATTGTACTCCCCTCACCGGCTTTTCCTGGTGCAGGCAAGCCTGATGCAGCCTGTGCTGACCGAACACAGCCATTACTCCCAGGCATCCCGTGGCTGCTGGGTGGTCCTTGGGAACAGGCAGCAGTGTCCCTGTTGCTACGGCTGGCAAAGCGGAGCATGGCTAACTGGCAGTACTGCTGCACACCAGTAATGCTGCCTGGTTCCTTGTGTCCCAGTGCCTGTGGTGTGCCAGCAGTGGGAGGTGTGTGGAGTACCCCATCCGAAGAGTCCTCCCCCCCGCCGACCTCTGTGAGCTCCGCTCCGCACGCTGGGGAGTCTGCTGGGGTAAGTGGATCGTGCTGGAGCTGTGACTGCCTTTGCTGCTCGCTGCTAAACAGCACTGACTGCCGCTCGTGCTAGTGGTGATGGGAGGTTTCCCTTGCCTCCCTTTCTCACTGCTGGTGTAGCAATGACAGGTTGAAGTCAATCAGGGTTCTGCAAACTTCCTGAAGTGTGGGTGAGAAAGCAGAGTCTGAGTAGTCCCTGCCTTCTGGCAAGAAGGACCCACGGGGCTTTAGCTATTCTAAATACATTCCTCATGCTTTGGTGTAATGGAGGATTCCAGATGTGGCCAGCACCTAGGAACAAGAATCAAAGGTGCTTTGCAGGCACCTTTGTGCCTGTGCAACCCTTCCCTGAGTGTGCCCGCCAGCATCTGACTCTTCAGCAGCATTCTCCTCTGCTCCCCACGCATCGTTCCTTGTGCTGCTCCTGGTTCTCCGCCTTTAGCAGTATGGCTGCTGTCCCAGGCAGGCTCTTAAAATTCAAGGGGGCTCTTGGATCCAGAAGTGAGATGACTTATCTGGAGGTTTGTGTGGGCTTCTTCTTAGTGCTGAGCGTGCCACAGTCCCACTTAGCTCTTACCCACGTGAGAAAATACCCTTTTCCAAAGCTAGCTCTGCATCAGCTGTGCTGCAGCTGCCTGCCTGTAGCCAGGCCACCTCCAGGAGCTTTTTCTGGCCAACAGCTGGCTGTTGGCTGCCTTTCCTCCCTGGTGCTCTGTTTCCTGGTGGGTTTCTGGAGGAATTAGTGTCATCTTTAGACCAAGCCTGTGCATGCTCATGCTCAGACAGGAACTTTTGGGGGCTGGGGCAGCTAGGAAGCAAGCTGGGTCTTGGTTTTTCTCACCTGTCCCCTTGACGGGGAACTTGGAGTTGAATTGTGGTTGCTTGTCATCCGTTGTGCTTGAGGCTGGGCTCTCTACTCACAAGAGTTAAAACTGCTCCCACACCTTGTGGAGGAAGAATCTCCTTTTTGTGAGCACTACAGTATGTTTTTCTGAAACTTGTGTAAGACCTTGAAATACTAGTTTTTGTGACCAGCTTCACAAAAGGTTTCATTATAGAAGAACACATTCCTTTGCTTGTAAAACTCGCTTTAGAGATTAGTTCTGTGGGAGATTAGCTCTTAAATGAGTCTGCATTTTTGGTGTGTGTGACTTAAGCCTGTATCATCAGGTGGAGGAGTGCCTGGTGCTCTGCCACAGAACTCTCTCTGTGGGAAGGGGTGATCCGAACCCCAGGGTCACCCTGAAAGCCAAAGTTTCAAAAGCCCCAATACAGACATGTGCTGGTGGAGAAAACCCCCAGTTGAACTGAAGAGCCTGTTTGGGTTTGTTTCGCCTGCACTGAGCTGACTTCTGATCCTTGTCTATTGGGCTGTGCCCTACATGACTCCATGGGTCTGTTGCAGTGCAGCCAGCAAAAGCTGTGGACACAGTGCTGTGGACAGTCAGGTCTCAAACACCATCTTCCTCAAAGCCTTACTGGGAACATGGACCTACAGACCTCTGTACTGCTGGAGAGGCTGTGTGATCCCAGCTGTGGGGACAAACACAACTGTCTGCAAACTGGTGGCTTGCTGCTTTCTGGTCTCACTGGTGACCTGCTAGACCATGGCAGCTGTCTGCAGTGGGTATCTGGAACCACATTCCTTGTGTGGTGCTTGACACTGCGGCCTGGGTAGGGATGCAGTATGATTTGAGAGTCAGATGGCATGGTTGTTGGCAGCAATGAAGCTCTCCACTGGGAGCAGGAGGCCTTGGAAGCAAGTTCAGTGGTGGAGACAGCTCAGCCTGGAGTCCCTGCAGTAAGGGGACAGGCAGGCATCTTCTGAAACGTCCCACATGCAGTGCACAGACTTTCTCTGGGCTCACAGTCTGAGCTGCATGGAGAAGAGGGGATCAGAAGTGCTCTGAGCAGGCTGAGGTGCGCTAGGATTTCCGTAACTTGGCTGCTCTGTGTGAAGTGGCTCCTAAACAAGTGTTTCCACAGGCCCAAGTCTCTAAACAGTTTGAATCACACTTAGGAGAAACCCCTCTTTGTTGCGAAGGATTTCAGGTGATGCCTAGCTGTGTCTGTTTTGGCTGGTGTCTTCACTGCTATTACTGCAGAAGCAGAGTAGGATGACTGCCTCCCGGGAGCCAGGGCTCAAGGCTGCTGCTTCACCACCACATCCCAGCAGGTTTTGCACTGTGCGTGGGCAAGCAGATCCCCAAACTCTAGGGAGATGTGGTGGGGGGTGCATGAAGCAGCCCTCTGCCTTCAGCTGCTTCAGCAGCACTGCTGGCCTCAAGCCGGTAAATCCCAACAGACAAGAGTCTCACTTTGCCTCTTGCCCAAGGACTCCAGACACCCCTAAGTGCTTCCAATCCACTGTCACCTCATCTCATCTGACTTCTGAGGCTGGCTTCTGTGGGCAGTAACTCCAGTGCCAGCTGTGGCCTCTCTGTCAGAGGTTGCCCCTCAGCACTGAAGCCTCCAGGGTTTTTTTCCCTTGAAGGGTTACTATTCACCTGGATTAATGATTAAGACAGCTTTGCTCCTGTTTCTGCCCGAGGAGTTTGACCTGTGTTTGTTCTGGCCTTTCCTCATAGCCAGTAACTGAGCACCATAGTTAGCAGGGACACAGACTCAGTTGGTGTGTACGTGCTGGTACCAACACTCCGTATACCTATAGATAATGATGCCCATCTCGCTTTCTCACGCTATTACATGTATTTCCAGCCCAGTGAGGGAAGCTGCTAGTGACAGTAGCTGTATGCTTGTAAATGCTGTTACTCCAGGCAGCCATGTATTTGTGTGCTAAATGTGTTTTGTCACATCCTGCAGTGAACTTTGAAGCCCTGATCATTGCAATGTCTGTGGTGGGAGGAACAATCCTTATCATGTTGGGGGTCTGCTGCTGCTGCTGTTGTAAGAAAAAGAGCAAAAAGTAAGTATCAGAGGCGTTTTCTTGGAGTAGCTCACATGCAACCATGTACTGTTTCAGAACTGAGTGCCAAGCACCACTAAATGGCTTTTCTGTCTGTCAGGCCAGACAAGGATGACGAGAGAGCAGCCAGGGAGCGGGAGAAGAGGCGGGTGCGGCAGGAGGAGAGGTGAGGTTGCCCTGCAGCCCTTGTTCCCCCATGAGCAAGCCACACTGCAGAAGGATTTGGCTCCTGTCTGTACTGTCAAACACAATGCCAGTAAGGACATGAGGATCAACACGTGCAGTTGGTGGCTGCTTCAACCTCAGCTCAAACGTAAACCTGATGAGCAATGTCTTTCTGGCGTGACTGGTGGATGCAGCATCACAACAGTGTTGCTCAAGTATTGCTGATGTGTGTGGGCTCTGGTGGTCCCCCAGTGCCTCCAGGAGGTGGGTGATGGGGAGCTGAGCAAACCTGGCAGCCTGGAGCCCCCTAGGTTGGGAAGAAGCAAGGAGCTGTAGCTGTTCTTGCTTTGTTTTGTATCACCAATCACTGACTCGTGGGTTTTTTTATTTGCTTCTTGCAGGAGAGCAGAGATGAAATCACGGCATGATGAAATCCGAAGAAAATATGGTACAATGCTGATGCAAGCGATTCAAACTAAGCTTTAGATTGAGCAGCCTCAGTAACTGTGTTCCTTGCTATGGTTACAGCTGCAGAGGAGGCCTGGCCAGCAGGGAAAACACAGTTTCCGCTTCCCCCATCTCAGGGGATTGCTCTCTTGCCCTCTGGGAGCAAGTGTAGAGATGTTTGGGTCATGGTGTGTGACCCCACGAAAGTGCTGCTCCTCTTGGGCAGGGAAGTGGGAGTGCTTAACACTCCTCAGGACCTGCATCCTCCAAACTCACCATGTGGGAGAAGCTGCTGGGTCTTGATGGGAGGGGAGAAGCAGAAGCTGGTAGACACAGCACCAACCATAATGCTGCTGCCCTTCAGGGATGGTCCTCCGGCAGCCCTGCAGTCAGCGAGTGGTTGGGGAGGCAGCAGCCTGGGGAGGGGAGCAGGCGGGAGCTCAGGTGCTGCAGTTGCAGGAGCACAGAACAGGCACAAGCCTTACCGCGGAGCCAAGTCCTCTGTGGCAGCAGCGGTTCCCTGGGTGCTGGGAGTGCACAGCCTGGGGCTGGACTGGCCTTCAGGTGAGTCTGGTGGCCCCATGGCGGGAGGGGGACCTGCCTGAGGGCAACAGCAGCCTGGAAGGAAGCGGAGACCAGCCAGTTGCTCAGGGCTGGTGGAGGGGTCTTGCCTGTGCATTGGGGCTGCTGGAACCTCTCCCAGGGTGGCCACAAAGCAGGGAGCAGTCGGGTTTATGCACACTGAGTGTGGTGGCCTCTGGCTTTAGCAGGGGCTGTAGGGAAAGCTGGAAATCTTTCCTCCACTTGCAGCTGCTGTCTGCTGCAGGTCCAGGTTGGGCAGCAGATCCAGGGACCTCTGTCTGGGGGATGATAAGCAGACAAAGCTGTGCCTGAAGGAGCTCTTGCTAGGGGAAGCATCTGCACTTGCAAGTGGAAGAGCTGTGCTCCAGGACTGTCTTGCTGTGCCAGGGCTCTGTCTTGCTGCAGTCTGACCACAGCATTTGCAATCTTGTCCTTTCTGGCTCTTCTTCCTCAGAAGTGTTGGGCTGGGGCTGGAAAAGCAGGCAACAGAGTGGCATGTGGGCTTGTCATAGGCCCAGATGTCAGCCCCATAACTCTGCCTTGCTGTCTCCTAATCTGTGGATGTAAGAGCAGGGGAGGAAATCTAAGAACAGTTTTGATTTGGTTTGAGTCTGGGCTCTCTGCTTCTAAGTCCAGTCCAGCAGAACGAGGGTGCAGGAGTGCTCTGGAAATCATCCGTTGTGCTGCTTTACCTGGACTTTATATGGACTGCCTGGGACAGGAGTTTGCTATCAGGTTGAGCTTCTTAATGGATCTCTCCTCTTTTGCAGAGGAGGAGAGTGAAACAGTGCTGACTATGCACAGCTTGAGTTCAGAGGAGGGCCTTTGGGAACTACAGGACAGGAGGCTGGATGAAGCACAAACGACAGAGTTACCAAGATCCAGATTTCTTGCTGGCCGTGACTGCAAGGTAGCTGCTGTCTGAATGAATCTATCTTCTCTTCTAGGCCTCTTCAAGGAAGAGAACCCATATGCAAAATTTGAGAATTAGCATCTCTGGATCTGCCCACCCTGGTGAACAGTGCCTTCCTGCAGTGCCGCAGGACTCCATGCTTCCCCTGCCATGAGGAGACCACTGTGGTGCCACTTCCTGCTTCACTTGCCACAGAAGATGAGCCAAATGCTTGATGACACCATTGTCCCCACTCCAGATGCTCAGTTTGCTCCAGAGCTTTGCTCTTGCTCTGCTGGTGCAGGAAAACGGTGGTGGCAATACCAGAGGATGACATATTTCTTCTCACTCACCCCTGGGTTGGTAACACAGGCCAAAGCAATGCAAATAACAGTCCTTGTCCCTGGACAAGAGCAAAATCAACTTTATGTATCTTTCTCACTCCTGCCTCTCCAAATACCCTTCACACACACAGAACCAGGCTCTTCCATTCCCTCTTTTCTTTTTCTCTTTTTTTCTTTTTTTTCTTTTATTATAAGCAAAAGCCAGCTAGAGTTTATTGACTCGGTCAGCAGGAGGCCTTGGCTGTTACTCCAGGTGCCTGTACTTGTCCCAGCACAATAGCATTCCTTTCAAAAAGCACAAGTTTCTGGTTGTCTTGGACCTCTATAAAGGAGGTCCCACATGCACATTCTCACTTGCAACTAATGTGGGGAAATGCCCCAATTCTCCTACCTCTCTGTGCCTTTCTAGAAAGCTGGTCTCCTGGCCACAGCTGATAGCAATACTATAGGGGTCAGATGCATTTACAATATGTTGACTATATATTAAACTGATTCGGTTACTATCCTAGTCTGAAAGAGTTGAATTCTGCTTCCACATCAGGTACAGGTTGGCAGCAATGGCTGATGGAGTCAGTGTTATGTGGCTCTGACTTGGTAGCTGAGGGAGGCAGAAGCAAGGCTGCCTTCAATTCTTGTTGGGCTTCAGAGGAAGAGTCTGTTCATGGAGATGTTCAGTTGTTAGGAAAAGCTGGGTGTTGAAAGTAATGCTACTCTCTAAGAAAGGAGCTGGATCTTTCTGCAAGAGCTTAGCCTCTGTCCCCTGGCACTCCTGAGAGACCTTGTCTAAGTGAGGTGACCTGGGAGCTCCTGACAGCATTGGGCACAGACTAAACCCTGTGCTGTGCTATCTGCGTAAGAGACCCACAGGTGGGAAAGAAGGATGGGAGCTGACTGCTCTTATGTGGTCTTATACTTGACCAAAACTGGCTTTGCAGTGTGAAGGAGCCTTGTGTGCAAGCAACACCTTGGTAGTTTTGTCTAAGAAAAGCTGACTGTTGCCTTCTGCCTGGTGGGGTGACTCACTCCGGGCTGTAGACCGTAGCATTTGTGTGGGCTTGCATCAAATGGTCCATTTGCACTGGCAGGCTTATGGCCCTTGGACACAAACTTCTCAAGCAGAACTTATCAAGCTAAACCAGCTGTGAAACCTTGCTGCTGCTGCCTGAGCTGTGTGCTGGCTGCCAGAATCTGACTGGCTTTTTCCAGGATGGTCAGAGATGCAAGACTTGCAGGTGACTTAATCTAGGTTGTCTCTGGCTGCTGCCAGAAGATACTTGGCTTCAAGTGGTAGGAATAAGGTAGGAACAACTCTGCCAGTGCTGAATAAGCACCTGGTCTGTAACCTGGGCTCCTGTTAGTGTGAACTAGGCTGCAGTGCTGGCAGGAAGGCTGAAAGAGTAGGGACAGATTGCCAGACTCTCATGGGTGCTCTCCAATCTTCTCTCCGGGTCTGTTGGACCCACTGGGCAGGGGCTGCATTCTGGTGCTGACAGTCAAGAGCTGTAGGAGGTGGTGACAGTGTCTTTTGTGGCTGTACGTGGCTGGGAGATAATGCTTTAAAGAAATTCCTAGTGCCCTGCGTTTGGTCTGTAGCTCCTTGTGGAAACTGCCCTGTGCACATTGAAAATAGATTGGAGCCCTGTAAGGAGAAGTGAAAATGTGTGATAAAGATGCTGGTTGTGCCCTGTTCTTTACTGAGTACACTGGCCTGGAGGGACTGTGGCCCCCCAGCCAATCAAAGGTATGGGGGACCCTGTGAGAGCTTTGTTTAACAACAAGCAGTGTATGGGGGCAGCTGGTGCTAAACTGCAAAGCTGTTAGAGCTGCCTTTACCCCTCCTGGGCTGTGATGGGTCCCTGGTCCCGTCCTGCCCTGGGGGCTGGGACCAGTATAATTCCCTTGGGCTACCTGGAGCACCTCTACGGGCCCCACTCCCAGCGCAAGGGAGATGCAATCCCTGGGTACAGGCTGAGCTGTGAGCACGGGCCTCCGGCTCGCAGGTGGAGGGTGACCATGGTGGGGTGGCCCACTGTCACTGTGGCCACTTCCATCCCTACACATGGTCATGGTGGCAACAGCAGCTGCAGTGGGACCCCTGAGGTCCTCAGCACCGGAGACCGTCCGCTGAGCATGGGGAGCGCAGCCCCTTCATGCCCCACTGCCGTGTCTGGAGCCCATCCTGGCCACGGGACAGCAACGGGTGCAGCCAGCTCTGACGCCCACCAGAGACCAGCAAAGACCCGTCATGGCTGCAGAGGGTCCGGGAGGAAGAGCTGGGCTCAGGGGACCATGTGCACCACCTCCCCTGGCTCTGCTTCTGAGTGGGGGGGCCAGGCTCCCCCGGGGTCCCTCTGAAATAAAACCACAGGGGACAATGAGAGGGGCCAGGCCTGGCTGCTTCTGTGCTGCTCATTGCTGCAGAACTGGGGGCGTGGGAAGGGTACGGCCCTGGACACTGGGGGAGAGAGAAGGAAACAGCTGTGAACCTGGGGAGAGGGTGGGATACGGCCCAGGGACTGGTAGAGAGAGAGGAATGTCAGTGTTGGAACTGGAGCAGAGGAGCCATTGCTGGATTCTCCCGTGCTGCTTTGCTCATTGCTGTGGGGATGTGCCTCTGGGAGGGGAAGGGGAAAGGGAGAGTCCGCTGGGACTCTTCTAAGCAGACCCCAAAGGGGCCCGTGTCTGCTCTCCTGAAGGCCAGGGTGAGGAAAGAGGCTGAGACAGAGGTTTGGGGGACACTCTCCCCTCCCTATCCCATACACCCCCGTGCAGCAGAGGCCTGTGATCCTGTCGGGAGGCTCCCCAGGCTGGGGGAGGCAGCCCTGGCACAGTTGCCTGCGCTGCCCGTGGGAGAAGCGGCCCCAGCCACGACGCGCCTCGTATTTCGGGAATCTCTTCTTCGGGGAAAGGGACCTCTTCCCGCTCCTCTCCAGCGGCGCCACACACCCCCGCCCCACGCTGCTCAGCACTAGGCCGTGCCGCGAAGCTCCTGGACAGGCCCAGATCGGAGCCCGCGACCGGGATGTCGTTTGGAGCTGGAAGGCTTCTGGTCCCTCCACCCCGGCACCCTGCCGGCACCCCGCCTCCC